ACATACAGTAGCTGGCAGACAAAAACTTTCCTGGATGCAACGCCTGGAGACTACTATTGTGTCTGGACAGCAGCTGGGGAACAAAGGAAGACACAAAAGAAAAAAAGGTCTCTTTGTTTTGTAATGCGCAGAGTAGCAGTAAATATAAATAATGACAAGGAGCAGTGCTGCTGCTACAAGGTGGAACCTCTTCAACTGAAAAGCATAATTTTCATCACCATTTGGACTCTATAAGCTTGTGAGGTTTCAAAATGTATCTTTCTGATTCTCAGTTTATAGCTTTTTGTTTTTACATAGGTATGGTAATAAATACTATTATTATTTAATTATTTAATTGTGCTCAATTAATTTGATCATTTATAACTAGATTAATTGTTTAAATCCATGTGCATGAAAATTGGGTAGTTTATAAACTAGACCTGCATTATTACTTCTTTTCTTCTTAAGTCTCAACAGTGTTTTATTAACACCCGCTGCTAATTACGAACCCTAAAATGTAAGGTGTAACAGGTAAGGATCTGTTCGTTTTTGTATCAAAAGGTGAGATCGAGCATCTGTCAGAGTTCTGTACACATGTGGTCAAACCACTTTCCTATGCATGAGTGTGTGTGTGGGGGGGGTTTCAACAAAGCATTGTGCATAACCTTTTAGCAAGGTAATTTCCAGCTTTATAATAACACAAGATGAACACAGGAGGTGAAAGTCGATGCTATTGGTGTCAAAGTCAGTGGTGCTGGGAGGGGAGGCAGGAGAGCGAGGGATTAAAGTAGAGTAAACATGAAAGAAAAGCAGAGGCAGAGAGGAAGTCGTGCTCCACCAGGTGTACGTCTACCTCTTTGTCCTGACTGTAATATTTACATACCCCAGAGAAATAAATTAATCAGACACACTATAGACACGCACTGACAGTCATTGGGCAACAAGTTCAAAGACAGATAAAAATGCAGTCTGTGTGGCCCTGCCTGTTTTACTGAACTTGCTTCCAGACAGACACAAAAACAGACAGGTAGTTCTACTTGGCAGACAGACACACAGAAAGTATACCACTATCACCCTCTACTACCTGGGTCCTGAAAACAAACCAGACAAACAAACAGGAACTTGTCTGTGTGTTTCAGTGTGCGTGATGTTTCTGTTTGCATCAATGCAAGCCTCGGGGAACATCTCAGATGCACAGACAGATCCAGTCAGGTAGAGGCTAGAAAACTTAAGATAACAGACACCACCACCACTGCGTCCTCCATTCGTATGTCAGACAGAAAAAATAAATAATGAAAAAGGAGAAGGAAACCTGTGTGAACTGAAAACAGAAACACAAGGTGTTAGTACAAAGACAGACACAGAAAATATGTTTTTAAAAATGCATAGAACAGAGAGAGAAGAAATATAATCCCTACCATCACTGCACCATCCACCCCCTTTTGGGCTGTGCGCAGAACAGCTACATATACAGACAGGCACACATGGAGATACAGTCATACCTCTCTCACCCCCCTCCGGCAGAGCTCTTATCCTCCCCGCTGTGGTTTTACTGGGCCACTGACTCCAGCAGTCAGCCTGTTCTGCTCCGCTCTGCTCTGCCCTGGCTGCTGCCTGCATATCTCCCACTGAGGAGTCAGCTGAGCCAGGCATGAGACTGCACACTGAACAGGCTACATACAGCTTAGAGGAGCTTAACACACACACAGAGAAGTGCTGGAGCTGTGAGGAAATTTGCAAGATTATACCACACACTGAAGATATTATCTCCCCGTATGATACATATTTACGGTCAGGGTGTTAAAGAAATGAAGTAATATACACCAGGTGTTACAAAATGCATATGACTGCCAGCCAAAAAGAAGGCAATGTTTACATGTAGTGTAAAGTAAGTATCTACACACAGCCAATTAAGCTCAGATAAAATGCAGATATCTGCATATTGCTGAAATACTGCAAGGGCTTATAGCAGCTTCATAAAATCAGTTATGGGTTACTGCACTAGTACACACTCACAGTGTTCCCTCTGCAGCTGCAAACATAGCTGCAGTGCTGCTTTTTGCATGTAGCTACTGAATGTTGAACGTATTGTATAAAATACAGACAATTACATGTGTTGTCTGTTTTGTGTCTTAAACTTATCGTCATCTCCTCTCCTGTCAACCTGTTACTGTTACTCATGACACCAAGGCCAATTACTGTATGTAATATTGTATATGCTGAATAAAGTGAACCTGATTTTGACATTACAATTTTATGAAATACATGCTAAACATCTTGCTACTTACCTACTCATTACACACACGCAATTGAACTAATTTGAAATGCACAAGAGCATTAATTTGAATGATACCGAAGAGACATTTGGCTTCTGCGCGTTGTGCAGCAAATACACTAAATAACGAACTGCCTGAAATGACTTGCTACATACATTACATGGTATAGTAGAAATAATTAAAAAAATTAGAAAACAACATGCTCAAAGTAATTTTACATCCAATTACAACGTTAAAAAATCTGTCACATACACATGATGACTTCACATAGTCATAGTAATCTCACATAACTGATTAAGCTGTTATGCAATAATATATAATAGCGCTATAACAAATACTGTACGCTTCATACTGCATGCTGAAGATTCCTTGAAAGTTGCGAAATTAAGGAAGTTACATTGTTACATAGTCTTTTCTTTTATAGATATATCTGCTGATGTATGAGGTTGGCATACAGTGTCTGGTCTTACTGCAGGGACCCCCATGTCATGTGGTTTAATTTTATGCATTGTATTTCAAAGACATGCACACACACACACACACACACACACACGCACAAGCCGTAGACAGACAGACATGCTTGTCAGCTATGCTGGAGGGCCCTTGGCTGACTGCTGCTAAACCAGCCCTTCCCCCACAATAAGGGTCTGTCTGGGAGAGGGGGAAGGGAAATCATGACTGTCTGAACACCAGACAGCCAGCATACAGCACATACAACAGGCTAGAAGAAAATAGAATAAAATACAATAGAAAGAATAAAACATCAGTTTGCCTGGGATGAAGCCAAAGATAATTTAGCTTTTGACCTAATAATTGTGTATTCTCCAAGAAACAGCCTTTATTACAGCTATCCCTTATCATTCAGCCAATTAAGGTGACCCTAGTATTTATTAATGATGTAAATGGGCAACATTTTATTCTTCAGCAGGAATACATTTTAGGCAATTAGACAAACCTAAGCGGGCAACATAATTGACTATTCAAGAAGCACATTAGTAATAAAACAGTGCTGTTACTCAGGGGACGGTGGTAAAACGGCTCACCTCCATCTCTTCATAGTCTGTGTAATAAGACTTTAGGTGCATGGATACACGAGCCATCAATGTATAGATTAATAGCAGCCCTCTGCTGTGAAGCTTCAACTGGTCAGCACAGATTAGCTTTTCATGTTGGATTCTTGGCTTTAGATGAGTCAGTATATGAATATTATCCAGAGGACGATGTTACCAAGGATGCAAGCATTACATTTTTATTTTTTCAGCAGGCGTTCTCCACTGCATCATGTTTAAAAGTGACTGTTTTGTAAAATATCAAGGTAAATATATATCTGTCTATGCATCTATTGATATTCATTTTGATGTTTATGCTTGTAAAGATTGATGTGAATTTAAAAACTAATAATTTGGTAATTTGTTGGGATTTCTGAGGATACATTTCCAAACCAAAAAATAATCTGGCGAACAGATTAATAAATGTGATTCACTGTTAGGGTTACAGTTTGTGCATTTTGTTTGCTGTCAATGACACGAAACTACTTGGTGTTTTCATGCAGTAACACAAATGTTTTACCTTATGCATAATGCATTTGAGTCTTAACCCTTTAAGCCACAAATCAATGTCGCATGGATGTTTAAACAGATGCATTTAGCTGTGTTGTGCTGTTTTTAGATGTATTTTGTTTTTTTTTTGTTTTTTGTTTTTTTAACTGTGCATTAAGAATCACATCCACTGTGACTGCATAGAACCAGGGATTTTATGTCATATGGCCACATAGTCATAGGTATGGGACAACCAGGTTTCAGATACTACCCTACTAAGATACATTTTGAATGCCAGCTGTGGACTTTAGCCTTATGGGGGCTTAACATGAAAACACATCAAATAAGTGTCCCAATAGGATTAAAATAATCCTATTGATTTGTTAAATCTTAGTCTATATATACACATCTAGGCTCCACAATGGTGCAGTAAGCTTCTGTTTTACAGAATCAAGACCATCCCAGGTCTAAAGAGGGGGAGCCTGCTAAGACTTGTTCAAAGTCGGTCCTGCCTATTGCTGTAACTGGTAATAAAAGTGGGCTTTTTCATAGCCCTGTGAGGACTTTTCCAAAATGTTTCGTAGACCACGTGGGCCATTTACACTCAATAGAAGACGTGGTGTGTACAACAAAAACATATGCAGATGTAGACAATACTAACCCAATATTAAACACCCTTTTCCAGACTGTAGATGGTAAGCAAATGAACAATAGATTGTATAGCCTTTTCATTTCCATTTCACACTGCAGTGCCAACTATCATTTTGCTTCCCTCTAATGAAGGAGTGATTATGGTTGTGATGCAGAAAGTTGCCTCACAGTGGGAGTGGGGTGGATTTCACAAAAGCAAGTTATTTCTCACCCCATGTTTGTGTCCATGTTAACCACTTTTGAAAACCAATCCATAGTGAAGTTTGCTTTCAACTGTCATTTTGTTTGTACCCAGCTATGTTGCCATTAAGAATGAAACTGCTACAAAAGCAGGTGCAGTGATGAGCTGAGAAATAGCTTTGCTTGTGTGTTCTTGCTTTGAATTCCTACTCTATTTTTATACCAGAAAGTTAGTAATGATAATTAGGCGTTGATATTAGCCTTTTCTTCCTTATGTATGGAAACTAACATGTAAACACAAACATATCACTTTTTTCCTACCGTTGACAACCAAAAAGAGACCAAAAGTTTAAGAATCAAGAAAAGAGTTGTAGAGTTTCAGTTCCAGCTGATATTTATTTCCTTCCTTGAAAAAGTTCTGTACACAAGTTTATATCAACAATCTGACAGGCAGTGAATGGACACAATTTAGCTGGCATGAGTTTCCCCCCTTTCTCTGAGTCCCAAAAAAAGGGTGGTTCCTTTGTTTATGGCATGATTAGAGACAATAAATGATAATTCTACACAGCATATTGCACAGGATGGATGAAAAATAAAGTCAATATATTTAAAAATGCTTTCATATATATATAAAAAAAAGTCCTGAACTGACCACCTTAAATGTAAGTAAGGATGTGTAAAAGATAGCAGTTCTAGACAGTGCCTGTCCTCGATAGCAACAACGTACATAAACACACAATCTTTTTGCTTTATGATACAGTCAAATATACAAAGATCGAGTTCACGTTTCATCGTTTTTCCTCATTTTTTCATTTTTTCTGAAAAACACAACAGCTAATAACCTGAATCTGAAATACAAATGCTATTCACCATGCCATAAAGATACTAAAACAATTATTAGCTAATAGTTAGCCGACAAGTAGAAAAGATTATATATTCAAATACAATGAGAAACGCAGTACAAGTAGGTGTTGCGGAACTCAAGTCAGAAATTTGAATATGCTTGATGTTGTCATCCTTGTTGTTTGCTTGTTGTATTGGTAGCATGTTCAATCCAGTGGTTGATTGGCAAATTTGACATCAATTAATGAAAACATCAAGAAATAAGTCAAATTTAAAGCTACAATCTCCTCATTTGTTGTCATAGGCAAGATGTCTGATGGGAAATGCAAAAGCAAGTGGCTGCTTAAGATAGTGAAGCTGTTAACCCACATGGTCCACAGGAATAGCCTCCAGAAATAATGCATTCCTGTGTCTTTAAGGAGCCTGCAGACTGGCACTGTAAACGTAGAAGGTAGGCTGTTACAAAGACTGGTGCTGCTTTCAAGTGCTGTCGGAAAATTCGTAATTGCATCCTTATAACTGGGTGGTTAATCATCTTATGCCTGTACTGACAATACGAGATGATCAGGGATTGGACATTGAAGAAGTATTGTCAGCATTTGCTGGTAAGAGTCCAAGAAAGTTTGCCAAATTAGTGAATTTAACACCGATTACACACCTGATTCATATTATCTCCTCTGCCCGGTCACTTCAGTAAAAAGTAGCTCGGTGCCTTCTGAAAACAAACAATAGGCACCACAGTGATGTAAGGTCTGTTTTGCTGGCTGTACCTAGAAAAGGCATTTGAACAGGCAATAAAAAGTCATGAGTACGAGCTTACCATGAGCACTTGAAGGCAGCATAAAAGCCAGCCTGCCGGGGTACTAAAAATTAGGAAATCCAATACAGCTGTATTAGTAGGCTACACACACCGATTGTTGACTCCCCCATTTTTTTTATATAGATTTGTACAAAAATACACTGAGAAAATAATCAAACTGTTTCCTCTCTTTTAAGTGTCCAAAAAAGTGTGTACATTTAAATATAAAATGAAATCAAAAAGTTGTGTGTTTTTAAAACTCTAGCCCTTCGCCTGAGAAGGAAATGTGACAGACAGACATACTGACAAACAACCGTGTAAGAAAAAAACAGGACCAGATCATGTTATACAAGAAATAAAAAAATGATCAAGTCAAAAATGCTTGTCCCAGTATATAAATACAACATCCCATATAAAATGGCATCTGAATAACATGTACAAAACAAAGCTCAGAGGATGAAAAACAAACAAATCGGTGAGGATTTCTCTATAGCTATCATCTGAAATTAAAGAATTTTGGTCCTGAATAGAAGAGAACACGTGTATAAAGTTCAGCACAGATTTGAAGTTGCGTTTGAATCCTGAAGTTTGAAAAAATTACAACAGCTGGTGATTATTTCAATGTCCTTTTTTTATATATAAAAAAAAGAGAAGAACCGAAAGCGAGCGCCACCTATCCATTTAAATAACCCTAATACTAGTTTTTAAACTGCTCGACAGTCTCACAGAAAATCTCAGCACAAGATAGGAACAAAGTAGGCTATCATGCTTAACATGTTTTTGCTTTTGAGAAAATATTCTGACTTTTAAAAAACATCAACCCACCTCGGTTTCATTAAAAATCCCTCTCGGTGACACACCACAATAAAAAAAATGTCGCACGACAGTCCCGGTTCTGTACCTTTTAGTGGTGAAGTTCACTTGGCGATTGGTAAAAAGTTGTGAAATGTCCCTTTTCTTTTTTTTTTTTTTTCTTTTCTTTTTTTAATCAGCAACAACATTGATTAAGTGAACGGCGGACCGCGTAACGTGCAAATCAATCACAGTTAAGTTGTTCAGTTCAAAAACAGTTCGGTGACTGAGCGTTTCACTATCAGGAACCTCAGTCAGTCTCTCCTTCTCTCCCCCCTCTCTCTCTGGGTTGCACTCCCTCCACTTCTGTGGTTGAACCAAGTTCCCCCCCTCCGGTCCACGCATCCGAAGAAAAGTACAAAAAGCGACTTATTCGCTTTAAAGTTTAGCTTTCCAACGATTTGCAACTCTTGCCTACAAAGGACGAGAAGGGACGGGGGCTAGTTTCAGTGGGTTTTTAGTAGTCTGGTGAACACAAACTATTAAGCCCACTGCACCAGGAGCTCCTGGTTGTGTTTTGTGGTCATGTTTTGCTGGGAGGACTTTAGGCCTACCTGTCGTTTATTTTTTGTTTCCTTTTGTTTTTGGCTCACTCAGTACGTGAACACCAAGTTGGATATGGTGGACTCCAGCCAGTCCCCGGAGATCATCTCGCTGACTTCGGGCGTGCAGTAGTCGGGGAACTCGAAGTGGGAGCCCCCAGAGCCGGACTCAAAGTTCAAATCCAAGTCCCTGTCCAGCACCGAGGAACCAAAGCTCCCCAGCGACATGCTATCGAAGCCGGGGCTCGCGTTGACGTCGAGCAAGTCGTCTTCGAACTCTTCGTCCTCCGAGGAGGAAGAGGAGGAGGACGAGCGGGACGAGGCGGAGGAGGAGTGAGAGCCGGAGGGAGTAGGAGACGAAGCCCGTCGACTGCTGTACGTGTGCCCGCCGTGGCGCCCCGAAGACCCGCCCAGGCTGCCGCCGCTGCTGCTGGGGGACTCGGCGCCCTCCTCCCTGCCGCTGGCCGCGTCTTCGTACAGGCTGAGCGGGTCGCTGGAGTCCGCCGAGCTGCTGAGCGTCGGGCTGGCCGGGACCACCACGGAGGACGCGGGGCTTACGCTCAGGCTGGCCGCGGTGCTCCCGAAGACGTACACCCGCTTGGGCTTCTTGCCATCCGGTATCTGCTTGGCTGCTGAGGAGACAGATTTCGACTTGTAGAGAGAGTTGTGGTGGTGCTCTGACGGGTGCTCAGAGGCAAACGGTGATGCTTTGGTGCTACTGCTGCTGCTCCCGAAAAGTGATTTATGGGGTTTGCTGCTGCTGGGTGATTTGGATCCGTTCTTCCTCGATGATGAGGATGTCTTAGTGCTGGTGTTGTTAGAGCTACTGTTGAGTTTCTCACCCTTGTCGCCGCTGCTGCCAGGCTTTGAGGCGCTCGATTTGACCTTCTTCCTCGGCCGGTACTTGTAGTCGGGATAGTCCGCCATGTGCTTGAGCCTGAGCCGCTCCGCCTCTCTGATGAAGGGGATCTTGTCGCTGTCCCTGAGCAGCTTCCACCGCTTCCCCAGCCTCTTGGAGATCTCGGCGTTGTGCATGTCCGGAGACTGCTCCATGATCTTCCTCCTCTCGATCTGTGACCATACCATAAACGCGTTCATGGGTCTCTTGATGTGGCCACTGGGAGTTTTACACCATGCCGGGTTGTCTCCCAGCTTGTCCCCGGCGGTGGAAGAAGCTGTAGAGCCCGGGGAGAGAGGCGAGGCGGCCGGGTCCAGGTCCATGCACGCCCCGGAGTCGGAGCTCGAGTCCCCGGCGAAAAAGGACAGCGCCTCGGCGGTGCTCTCTGTGTGGCTCATTTTCTGCACCATGCTGCCCAGTTATACACACAGAGGGAGAGCGGTGTACTTGCTCTTTCTCTCTCTCCCTCTCTCCTCGGTCCTCCGATTCACTTTAAAGCACACTCAGCTCTTTTCTCCCCCTCTTCGCAGCTGAGTACAAAAAAAGCGCAAGAATTAATTCACTCCTGAGATGTGCAGCAAACAGTTCAGTCCAGTGCAGCCTTAAAAAGGCTAGATGTGGGGGAAAAAAAAGCAAAGAAAAAAAGTTTAATTTCCAGTTTCTGTAGATGTTAAAACAGCCCCTACTGCCCACTCTCCACTCAGTACCCTGTTATCTGTCTCTCTCAGTCTCTCCCTCGTGTTATAAAATCAATTCAGCCGTGTGGTGACTGAACATAAGTCTATGCAACTGCAGAGCGCAGACAGAGTGCCACACTGTGCACTCGGGCACTTACAAAGGGCTCCCAAGTACAGTGTATAAGATGAGTGCTTTTCTCTGCATCAGCCCTGTCCCCTCTGCTAGAAACAAAAGCCATGCATGCTGGGGAGGAAAAAAAAAAGAAACCTAGAGCGAGTTACACTGTCTGCCTTCCATCTGCAGACCTGCAGTCGAGTTTCATCCCTCCAGTCCCGGCCACCCTTGCTTGCATTTATCCCTTCTCTGAGATACAACGGCGATAAAAATCAACCAATCAGACGCTGTCGCTACGCTGCCTCTGTGCCAAAATCACGCCCCCTCGGCTCTGATTGGCCAAAAATGGAATCTAATAATAATCAGCGCGTGCAATGAGGAGCCTCGTGTCTGACCTCATTCCAGAATACAACAAGAAACTTCAATTTTTTTTAAAGAGACACTGGCTTATGTTATGGAACCCCCTCTTCTACTCTCTTACCGCCAGCCCATGTGTGTACCATTAACATACAGCTATATGGGAAGTTAAGTATACTTTACCGTATGGAAACTTTCACACTGAGCACAGTTTGTACCACTGAGTTGCCTGGACAATGCTAAAGAAAAGAAACATACCCTGTAATATTAAGCTCCTGTTCTTCCCACTACTACAGACTGTGTTGCTGTTATGAATGGTGCGCACCTGTAATACTGAACAGAGAGAATCTAGAGCCAGAAACACTTGCCAGCGCAATGCAGCTGATGTAGTTAGGCATTACCTAATGTTTACACTGTAACAAAGATGTGGTGAGTAAAACCTTTAAGGTCTACCTTTCCAGACTGATATGGTGTTCATCTGACGTGCTGTATAATAGAAACATAAAATATATTTAATATATATATATATATTTATTTATTTAATTTATATAATTGCTCATTGTTTTTAATTGGCGTCTGTTTGCCTACAGGTGGTTGCTGACCCAGGTCATTTATCAGCGACACGTTGTTGAACAAGACCACTTTCAACAGTTGAGTCTCTCTTACTGAGCGCCTCACAAACAGGGAAATGTCTCTTGGACACATCATGATCGTTAAGCTGGTGTGAGAAAAGACTTCAAGCCAGGCTGTATATGCTTCCCTCTCTCTCTCTCTCTCTCTCTCTCTCTCTCTCTCTCTCTCTCTCTCTGTGAGGCGGGGTTGGGCGGTCTTTTGTCACATAACACACATCGAGCCAAACCCTCACCAGCACAGCAGACAGAGAAAAGCGAGGAAGGCTGAGACGCAGCCGGCGGTGTGCGAACTGCCTGTGCGAGCACACATATCCGCACACCTTTCAACTGCCATCGAGTGCAGTTTTCAGTGGAGTGACACAAAAAAGACACGGTATCTCTTTTATGCTCCGAGGAAATTATTCCCACTTTACTACAAAACTACAAAACATAGATAGAAGTTGTGTATTTAATTAAATGATGGCACAACTGTGCTTATTTCCCCTAAAACATATTTAGCCACATATATAAACTGAAAGGTTAACATTATAACTATTTATCCTTATTCCCAATACAAAATAATATAATAATAAATATAATAAATACTTTGTTTTTCTACTTTTTTTGCTTATAATAATAACACCTTAATATAGTAGACACCAGTCCTCACCATGGTTCGTTTCCTCGGGGCGCATCCAGTTTCCCCAGGAATATATTATGTTTATTTGACTTTAACAAGTCAAATATATATATATATATGAAAGGAGGAATGAGGAGGGATGCAAGCAGTAGGTAGAGTCTACAGTGCGGTGTTGGATGGTCGCTAGATGGCGTCGCAGAGCCGGAGAGGACTCAGCTCCTGTTGCAGAGAATTCAGGGAGGGTAACAGAGATCAGACCGAGCATCCAGAACAGTTACCAGGGTTGAATTACATAATGTCTTTGTGCAATAGGGAGGCATCGAGAGATGATGTTGTGCAGTGTGTGTGAGAGAGAGAGAGAGAAAGTGTGTGTTTGTGTAAGGTATGAATGCCATGTATGGTAGGACAGCCACTGAAGCACTTTGGTAGAAATCAGCTCAATTTGAAATCAGTAACCAATGTAATATGATTTCAACTTCCACAAGAGCATGTTTCTGCACATGAAAATGCCATCAAAATATGTAATGAATTGGAAATGAAAGTAGGTCTGTGTGTTTGTGTTGTGTGTGTGTGTGTGTGTGTGTGTGTGTGTAATAAAGAGAAAGGCAGCGAGAGATGGTCAGATGTTCTGTATCTAAATGAAAGGAGAGTCAGAGGTCACTTGGATCACCACTGGGAAATTAGTATGAAAGTATCACCAACGTTACTGGATGCATTTGACTGGGTACAATTATATTCAATATGGCCTCATATCTCCAGTGCATCCAAGTAAAGCAATGGGTAATTGGGCTCCAATTTGTGTGTTCATGGAGCAGAACTGCAATGGAAATAAGAATGTTAACTCATAAACTCACACCGGCGCTCCTCAATGCCATTTTAATAAGGAACTGCAGGAAAACATAGCATATAAGTCTGTTGTACAGAAGCAGCTGCACCTTGATGGAACAGGACTTAGCCTTCAGGAGAGAGTACTTCAAATCAAACCCTTCTGTAGTTTAAATCATGCTATTTTATTATAATTTTTCAAATATAGTACTTCTTCTTCTTCAAACTTGTTTCTCTCTTCTAATTAACTCTTGGGAACTCAGTGCACCTGGAGTGACAGCTGGCAGCCTTTCAAGCAAACACCTTATTCAGTACCTTGAGCAGGTGTCCTCTATTCTATTCTATTCTACTTATTCTACTCTTTTCTATAACCCAAAGATAAATAAGACCTTTCACCTAGTTTTGGCTTCATAGTTAACTTGAATACGCATGTCTTTTACTTGGCTGCCCACACTTTTCTGTCTCTCTTTCTTTCTCTCTGTCTCTCCCTCTCTCTCTCTCAGTGTACACATTAGTATGCCACACACACACACACACACACACACAGGCACAGGCACACACACACACACACACACACACACACGACCTGAAAGGATAAGTAGTGCATTCAAACTTTCCTCTCGCTTTCTCTGTCTCTCTCTTTTACTGCCATTGTTCCAGAGAGGTGCAGCTGCCACGCGAGTTGGAGTGGGTCGCGTGCCAACCCTAATCTCAACAGGTGTTCTTTTGGGTGTCTCTCGCTCAGCCCCCCTCCCTTCTCTCTGTCTTTGTCTGTCCTCACTCTCTCTTTCTCACTCTCTCTCTTTCTGCCCCCACACACACACTTTAACTAAGTCCTTTTCTTGCTCTCCCCCTCCCAAATTCAAATTATAATGACCACCATTAAGTTCACTTCTGCCTTTTGTACAAGGTTTACAATGTAGTAGTAAGTATCAAATGTAAGAATAGAGATATTACAGGATGGTAGAATATAAATGATAAGATCAGACATACATTAACAAAGAAATGTAAGTTAATGATGAGGGCTATATAAGAAAAGAGATGATATCACAAAGATTTAAAAAAAGATCATTTCAGAGGAGCTCAGTACGGTTTCATGTGTTGTTCCACTGGTTTTCCCTCAGGCCATGACATCTTTTGCTGCTTCTGTGGCAATGTCAGTTCTTCTTTAAATAAATACTGAATTATGTTTTGGTCTGAGAGTGTGTCAAACTCTTGGTATGTGAGTTTTATTTTGGTAAAGAAGTTGACCTCTATGTCTTTAAACAGGCTGCAGTGCAGCAGGAAGTTTCACTCCCTCTCTGCTCTCTCTCACCAGTCTCGTACTCTCTCTTCTTGCCCATCTCTCATTCGCTCCCCTGTCTTTGCTCTCTGCCTCTCCTTTCCGTCTCTCAGCTCTCTCTTCAGTTTAGCTCTCCAGTTTGTTTTATTGGCATGAATGTTAGATGAACAGTTTTGCCAAAGCCCTCCCATCTCTCTTTCTTTTCTCTATCCGTCTCCCTCGCAAGATAAATCTGATCTGAGGTCATCTGTTATTCAGAACACTGACACCATATGGTCAGCCACCCACTCAGAGTACATCCAGTCAGTTTCATGAAAACTTAAAATCTTCCCATATTAAATATTGATGGAGCTGTATATTGACCGGCTGTCACAAACCCTGCTTAGAGTTTAGCCTGCTAGAATCATAACTTGCTTATCCGTTACAAAAGATGTTGACCTGAACGAGTCAACTTATTAAAAGAAATTGCAAAATATAAGAAATAAAGATAGAAAGCACAAGCAGGATAGCTATTTTAAAATAAAACTCAGTTTAGTGAAAAGTGCTTTTAAAATCTGATGAAATATTAAATGGGGAATGTTTGGCATTGTAATCAACAGCCTTGAAAAAACCCAACACACCATGATGTTCATCAGTCAGACCTCATCAGACCTCTTTTGCAATTAAAAATGTGATGCTTCAGGCAGTACCTTGATCAGACCCTTTAAAGAGAAATAGACATACAGCAGCTTACTACAGGTGTTGTAGTATTGAGAATACAGAAGAGGTATTGGTGAGAGTGGACTGTCCTAAGGGGTGTCAGTGATGTAAAGAAGCGAGAAAAGTTTGACTTGTTTTAGTATTTTTTATGGAACTGAATGAATTCCAGGTCCCAACACAGTACATGGATGTCACCATCTCTTAACACTTGTGTTTATTTTCACTGTATAAACTGGCAGCCTGTGTAGGATACCAATATATACTGTAACTTAGCAGTTTGATGTACACATACACACAGAAATATGCATGGTTATCTTGCAACAGATTGATGTTGGTTGCGCAACCAGATAATCAGTGGATCTGGTGTGTATAATCACACTTTGACAATGCCACTCAAATTAAAGACCACATACCTGCCCCTTCAGTTGGCTGTAAAGGGATTTAATCAGCGGAAAGATAGAGCATTCATATATGAACGCTGTGGTGGATTAGAGTTATTGGTAAGAATCTTAATTCTTTACTCTGCCTTTATGGCATGACTACCATAATTGGAATTTTAAAAAATGTCTTCTGTGCAATTAGAGGTGTCTCCTGGATGAACACAGAATGATGAAAGTGAAACATATGAGCAAAACAAGAATAAAAAGCCACAGCCACAAGTACCATTGGATGATACCCTGCTGTGCCTCTTCTCCCACTTTGGTGAGCAGCGAATCACCAAAACTCTACAGGGACAGGCAAAAAAAAAAACACTTCAATTCATGAAAACATTATGCCCCCACGTGACAATAGAGCCCGCAGC